TCCTTTGTCCCCAGCCTGCCTACAGCCCCCTTTCCTTTTCCCCTCTAGTATACCACACCCTGGGAACAGAGTAGCAATTGAAAGTAGCCCGAAAAAGCCTGATAAGCAAGCGTGTTTAATCTGTAAACTTAATTTTGCACACAAACCTGAGTCAACAGGCTCTGATATGAAGCTCTGATAACTGCTTCATGCCTTTCTGGAGGTGAGGACATTAACTTTATGCCTCAACTCAGCAAGCTGCTTTTTGCCAAGGGCAGGCTACACCCTGATGCAGGTGGGTGAGATGGTAGGAAAATCAATTCACCTATAATAGAAACCACACAGTTCAAGTTATATGCATGCCTTTGACAGTCTCCGTCTCCAAAAGGACTCCCATTAAGCAGTACTCATCTCCCCATCCAGTTATAAAGACTTTAAATGGTAAAGTTAAAATAGAAGGCGTAACCAATAGCCCTTAGCTGGAAGTGTGAGGCCCAATTGGGCCTACTGACTACAGAATTAGGAGGATTTGCCCATCCAGCCCTGGGCCTAGCAAGGCCTGTGCCACAGAGGTCCCCTCCCGAGCAAAAGGAAAGAACTGAGCTAAGTGCACCAAATGTGTCTTTTCTGAGTTACCAAGTCCATTTAGCCGATGTTTACCTTAAATCACCTCAGGTCTTTTTTAATTATTTCAATTGATTTCAGAGAGGAAGGAAGAGGGAGAGATAGAAACATCAATAATTGAGAATCGGCTCCTCCTGCACGCCCCCACTGGGGTCTGAGCCCGCAACCTGGGCATGTGCCCTTGACCAAAATCGAACCCGGGACTCTTCAGTGCGCAGACTGATGCTCTGTACACTGAGTCAAACCAGCTAAGGTTCACCTCAGTTTTTAAATTCATGTACCACCAGCCTTTCATTACTTCTTCATCTCTTCCTTCTTTAAATACCTCAGGTGCAGAAGCCATACTCTTTCCAAGGCATGGTATCATCAATGTGAAGAGTTTATCTTATTTATTTGTATACTGCCTCTGTTTTCTTCCCCACAACTGAGGTAGTTTATATGTTTTTCTGAGTATGTATGCAACCTTATAAAAATTATTGTTGTTTGTGTATTTTCAATTTACATACACAAGGTCTTATTCTGTGTCTTACTCTTCTTACTACATACAATGCTTTTAAGATCTGTCTGTGCTATTGTATGTTGATCAATTCCTTGCTTCTAAATGTTGCACAGTGCTCACTCCAAGGTGTGCAGCTACCACTTTTTACTCATTCCAGTTCCTGATTCCTGCACACCCTGATTCCTCTACATCCCCATGCGTGTCCCAATCCGTCCTGGCCAGATCACAGAGCCGTGGGAACCTCATTTGATTGAACACCGCCAAAGCACTGTCCGAGTATCTGTTCTTGATTCTTTGCTCACTTTTTATTATATTGTTAGGTGTTTTTTGTTGTTGAGTTATATGAGTTCTTTATATACTTTGCATATTAGCCCCTTGTCAGAGGTATTGTTTGCAAGTATTGCCACAAACTCCAAATTGGCCTCCCTGGCACTCTTTCCAATCCCCCCCCCCCCCCCCCCCCCTTCCCCCCCCCCCTGCAGTCAGTGTGGTCTTTCCCAAATGCAAATCTGAACAAGTCCCTCCACTTTCCCTGCTTCCCAGGCCCTCAGATCCTGCCCCTGCCTCCCATCCTGCCCTCAGGCTCCCACTCTTGTCTGAAGCTCATGTTCCTGCTGATGGATTAGGCTCCATCCCTACCAGCACCCTGTGATTTCTCCTCCTGAGCTTTCTCACAAGTTCTCTCATTTGACAAATACTGTTTTCCTTGTGATTCCCAGCGTCACCCCTCCCACACCCCTCCAGGCTTTAGAAATCCAGCTCTCTACCCTTCCTCTGTGATTCTCTAACATCCCGAACTTCTATCATTATAACTTATCAACAAACATGAACTATCATTAGATCATGAATGAAGGAGAGAGTGGTACCTGGACTTGATTTTCAATATGATGTATCTCCATCACATTGTTTCACATATAGAAAAAATTTTAAATATATTCATGAGCCCTAGCCGGTTTGGCTCAGTGAATAGAGCGCAGCTACCAGCCCGCAGACTGAGGAGTTGCATGTTTGATTCCAGTCAAGGGCACATACCTTGGTTGCAGGCTCCATCCTGGCCCAGGTCAGGGCCTGTATGGGAGACAATCCATCGATGTTTCCATCTTTCCCCGTCCCTTTCACATTCTCAAAAAAAAAAAATCAATGGGAAAATATCCTTGGGTGAGGATTAACCAGAAAACATAAAATATACTCCTGAGTTGAACTGGAAAAGGAAGAGTATTCAGGAAGCAGACACCTATAAGGGATTCAAATTTATATCTCATTTGGTCTTCTTCATAGAGTCACAATCAGTGTTACTAAACGCTAAAGATAAAATTGATTAGGTTGTCAAATTAAAGCACAATCTAAAGCTTTCTAACTGCTATAGAATAACACTAAGCTTAAAGTTTTTTAATTCTAGCTTACCTAAGCAATACAGAATATATTTTTTATATATAAAACAAGGTAGCCTTGACCAGCTATTTTTTATGGATGAGCTAGCAAATATAAACATAAATTGCAATAAGATATGCAAAATAAGGAAGACTATTTAAGTGAGGGGAGGGGCTAAAATATGAAACAGCCCAGGTGTGGCCCTTCCGGACAGATGTTCCATGTGATAAGCAGTTCTTGGATCTTAGTATGTGAGGTGTTGTGGATGAATCCTGACACTTCTAATTTTTCTTCATGAGAAATTATGTAATTTCTTAATGTTATGAGACCTCATAATGTGTTATAACAGAAAAAGTCAAAATAACATCTCAAAAATAAAACAGGTACACATGCTCAACATAAAAATCTATGTGGTTGAAGTACAGTATATCAATTTCAATATTTATGTATTACATACAAACATATGATCGCTAGCCTGTTATATTTTCACATTTTTCTTTTACTGTGCTTTTAACTAGAGATATTCTTTTCTTTTTTCAAGGAAGCAATGACAGAATAAAAGCTCTAGGATCCAGCTGGCCTTTTTGTGTTCTCATTGTTACCAGATTCCTCCCTGTGCTGGCTCAGAATTCTGGTACAGAATGGATGACTTCATTCGTATCCAGGCATTACTTGAGATGGGAAAGGTCAGCCCTCAGAGCCCACCTGCCTTGCTCTGGGAATTCCTTACTGCCAATCAATGCCCCCATTGTCTGTCTTCATGCACAGCTCCCGGAGCCACACCTGCCAGAGCAAGCACAGCTGCCCACACTCACCTCCTTAGGAAGCATAAAGAGAGGGGAGAACCAGGGAGAGCTGAATTAGGGAGTGCTTCAATATATATTTTTAATGTTTTCATGGGGGTGAATCTCCTTTCAATGTAAATATGATAAACCTACCACTTATTGAATACCTCTCTAAAGAAAGTGGCCCATCCAGGAATCACACGTGGATAAGCCTCATTTCTATTTCTATCCCTCTCTCCCTTCCTCTTTGAAATCAATAAAATATATATGTATGCATTTTTAAAAACTTCATTTCTAAAGCCCAAGTTCTTTCCCCTATTGCTGCTTTTGAGAAAGCAAAGCCCCCAAAACAATCTCATTTGAGATTCAATAACATTTTTATTTTATTTAGTTAAAAAGTAGAGGAGAGAGAGAGAGAGAGAGAGAGAGAGAGAGAGAGAGAGAGAGAGAGAGAGAGAGAGAGAGAGATGCATGAAAGGAATGTATTAGGTATCCAAAGAGCACATGACGGGCCTAAACTGGACCTGGGAAGGACTGCTATTTCTCTCTGCATCAATACTTCCTCCTCTCAGCATGTGCAGGCGCCAGAAGGTGCGGGAAGGTAGGAAGCAGAGAAAGCGGGAGGACTGTGAGCATGCTGGAGGCATCAGGGAGTCTTTGAAATACATATTAATCTCTCCTTGCTCATTCCCACTGCCACCTCCTCATTCAATAACCTTGCAATCTCCACTCTTTTAACTCGCCCTCCCCAGCCCTTCTCTACTCTCCCGCCCAGAGACTCAGATGCTCTCACTTCTCAGTCTGAGCCTCCCTTGGCTGCGCGCTGCAGCCACCTTGCTGGCCCTTTCCTCCCTCCGCTCCTTGACTCACTGTGTCTGCTCTTCTGTCTCCCTCACCCCCCACTCTCCCACCCCGTCTTCTGCTTTCCCAAGCCATCGCCCATCACCCTTGGAGTCTCAGTTTAGATGTCACTTTATATATATGTTTGTTTTTATTGATTTCAGGAGGAAGGGAGAGGGAGACAGAGACAGAAACATCAGTGAGGAGAGGAGAACTAAGGATCCGCTGCCTCCTGCACGCCCCTCACTGGGGATCAAGCCCGCAACCCGGGCATGTGCCCTGACCAGGAATCGAACCCTGAACTTCTGGTTCAGAAATCGGCGCTCAACCACTGAGCCACGCCGTCGGGGCTGGAGGACACTTTTTCAGCGATGCCTTTCCGGGCGGATTCCTGCCCCCAGCGCCCCATCCCCCACCCCCCGCCCCCCGCAGTCTCCCGCACCGCCCTCCACTCAGATTTCCCGGAATGGGCACCGTCCGCGCTCCCCACCTCAACGATTGCAAATTGCACCGCTGGACCCTCACTTGAATGGAAGACTGACAATGAATGGGTGGATGAATGAATGAATGAATGAATGGAGGGGCTTGGATCGGGTCTTGTCATCATCATCATCCCATCATCACAAAGTCTCTAGTCCCTCTGGGACATGCCCATCCCGTTCCGGAGCGCTCTTTGGGGAAGGGGGGGCGTGGGGGGCGCGGGCCCGGAGGCTCGGGCAGGCCCCCCGCCAGGTGCGGAGGCCCCGCTCCGGGCTCACCTGCTGGGGGGGAGGAGGGGACGGGAAGGGGGTGGGGAGCCGGGAGCCGGGCACGCCCCCCGCCCGCCGCCGCCGGGCGCACTTCCTCCTCGGCCGGGCGGGGCGGGGCGCGGCGGGAGACGCCCCCGGAGGCCGGCCGGGCGCCCCAATGGGATGCGGTGCCGGCGGCCGCTCGCCCAGTCCCGGCGCCGCGCGGAGCCGCGGAGGAGGCGGCGCGGGCCGGGCCGGGCAGGGCGGCGGGGCGCCCGGCGAGCGGAGGCCGAGCCTGCGGAGCTGGCGCCCGGCGGGGCCATGGGGGCCGGGGCCGCGGGGCACGGCCTCCTGGCGCTGCTGCTGGTGGCGGCCGCCCCGCTCCGGCTGCGCGCGGACCGGCCGGGTGAGTGAGCGCGATCGGCGGGCTGGGCCCGGAGGGGCGGGCGCGGGAGGAAGCCGGGGTCCCCGCCTGCACCCCGCCGGCCGATGGCAGCTGGAGGCAGAAACCGGGGGCTGCTTCCCGATCGCTGCGCGCCCAGGTGCTCCCCGCCCCTCAACCCGGAGAACCAACTTGGCGCTTGCCCGCGCGCCCCCTCCCCGGCCCCGCGGGGCCCCCGGACTCCCCGATCCCCGGCCCCGGGAGGGGTGACACGGCCCGGGGTCGGGAGCGGCGCCCCGGGCCGCCCCGGGGAGGAGCCGCCGCAGGGACGCTGCTCTCCGGCGTCCTTTGGACCGAGCTGCGCGCCCGGCGGCGGGGCGCCAGGCCCTCCCGCCCGCTGGAGCCCCGGCGGGTCCGTGTGTGGTTTTGGGGGAAAAGCCGGGAAATGTTGGCCCGATTGCGCCGCGCCGTCCCCGTGTGCTGCCTGCGCCCCAGGTGGATTCGCGGGGTTTGGCTCCTTGTCAGTTCCCCGCCAGGCTGGCCTTTCTCAGCACCTGGTTCCTGGCTTCCAGCTGGACCTAAGGCACCCACAGCCGAATTTTCCCCTGCATTTCCACCAGGTCAAAGCAGCAACCCGTTTACCAGTCCAGGCAAATCTTTGTGAATTAGCAATTTATTGATAGACAGCAAGGAGCGGCTTATTGGGGAGTTTTTAAGTTCTGGGTCCCTCCCTTCCCCCCCCCCCCCACTTTTGCCCTGTGTAAAGGCGGTCATTGAATAGCACCGAATTCGTCCAGAATATTTTGACAGCTTCCCCACCCCACTCCCCATGTTTTCAAATGAGAAAAGAATCAAAACTTCACCCAGGATTGCACCCCGTGCCTCCCGCCCCACTGAACCGTGTATCCATCCATTCCCAGTCTGAAATATGGATACCCAAGATGTTGGTAGTGGTTACTAAGGTTGTTACATATCTTTTTTCTTTTTCTTTTTAAGATTAAAGTTTAGATGAGATCTGTCTTGTCACGATAGCAGAATGCTAGACATATCGTGACATGTTAATACCTATGTGGGATTTTGATGATGGGTGGTTTAAGCATGGAAAAATGTTTCTCAGGCTCCTCTTTGAAGACGCACGTTTAACACTGCACATTTGTGAACCCGCCTAGCGATGTGTCCCCATCCTCAGCTGGCCGCACTGTCACCCTGCTTTCCTAAGGCAGCTTCAGGCTTAGCGGGCCCTCCAGGCTGGGCTGCTAAAGGGCACTTTGTAGAGCCATTCTCTGCTGGCCAGTGTGATGGCTCAGCTTCAAGCCTGAGTCTGCTGCAGTTATTAGAGGAAGAAGATATTGCCATTTGATTTTCAATGAAACAGCCTATATATATGTAGGATGCCAACAGACTCAGTAAAGGTGTAGATGTTCATTGACAAAGGAGGTAAAACTTAGCCAAAACCGCTTTGGCTCAGTGGATAGAGCGTCAGCCTGGGGACTGAAGGGTCCCAGGTTCAATTCCGGTCAAGGGCACATACCTTGGTTGTGGGCACATCCCCAGTGGGGGGGTGTGCAGGAGGCAGCTGATCGATATCTCTCTCTCATTGATGTTTCTTACTCTCTATCTCTCTCCCTTCCTCTCTGTAAAAAATCAATAATATATATATATATATATATATATATATATTTTTTTTTTAAAGTAGAAACTTAGATTGGGGCATTTACTCAAACAAATACATAAATCTGGTTTGACTCAGTGGATAGAGCCTGGGCCTGCGGACTGAAGGGTCCCAGGTTCGATTCCGGTCAAGGGCACATGCCTGGGTTGCGGGCTCGATCCCCAGTAGGGGGCGTGCAGGAGGCAGCCGATCAATGATTCTCATCATTGATGCTTCTATCTCTCTCCTTTTCTCTCTGAAATCAATAATATATATATATATATATATATATATATATATATATATATATATATATATTATTTTTTTTAATTTTAAAAAAATCTAAGAACTCAGGTTCTGATACCTCTTGAGTGAAGAGGCATTGCATTGCATTGCCAGTGAATTTTTTGCATATTTCTTTTCACTTGTGGTTTTTCTAATTAGGCCAGTCACTTATTTTTCAAGTTCCCATAAACTGAAACATGCACACCCATTTTAGGTCTTGAGATATGTTGCTGGCTATGCAGCTGGATGGGGTCCTAAGTGACAGGAGTGCTCTCGGCGTTTAGAAGATCAAAGGGCAGGCTTAGCATAACTGTCTGTTTTTGGCCAGAAGACACCATTTATTACATTTTGCCGTCATTGTTCTCGGAGTCAGCTTAGTCTGGTGCTTCTTGCCTCCTCAACCTGCCAGCTTCCCCACTCTCTCCCCAGGCTTTATCAAAGCCCCAACACCACACTGTGAATCAGAATTTCCCGTGGGTAGGGCCTGGGAACAGTGCTTTTAATAAGTCCCCCCAGGTAATTCTGATTCAAATCAGCTTTGAGATGGCAGAAACAACTTTATAACGTTAGGGTCACGGTAAAGTGCTACCATCTGTGTCAGAGACAGTTTCATACTGGAATATGAGAAAGTCTGTCCTTAAGTCATCACTCCTTTATATGTGGCTAGACACGGGGCAGCTGATGCCTGCTGTTTTTTGTTTTTTTTTTCTTGTTTTTTTGGTGAGTGACTTCTTTCAAAGTCAGGCACACGTTTATTCTGGCACCTTCTGTGTCATTGTGTGCACTTGCCCAGACTTCCCTTCACCTCCAAGGTCGGAGATCCTATCGGCGGTGTAGACTGTAAATTCCTGAGGGGAGCAGCCAGCACTGTCTTTACCTTCCCAGCATCCGACAGAGGTGCTCCATAGATGCTTGTGGGGTTGAGCTGAGCAATCTTGTTGTGTTTGGGAGACATTTTCAAATTACTTTCTAATTAGTGGAAACTGAGTAATGAGATGCCTACTGAGGTTCTTGATGAGGGCACGTCTGATGCTTACACTAATTAATGTTGTTTAGCAAGCTTTCTCGGCGTGCCTCTTTCCACAGGGGAGGGTGCCTTGTAAGTGAAAGCGCAGCAGAAAGAAGGAGCAGGCCAGGGAACAGCATGTACCTCTGGCTCAGGGAGATGAGATTTGCAACACTCAGACATTGAATTGTACCAGATACTTCAGAAAAGACTTTATGTTAAAGGATTCATTAAACAAATCAAAGGATGTTGTTCAAACTTGATTTGGACTCTGAATAGGGTCCCAAGCTATCAACTTCTCACTGCATTAAAGTGAACGCTTTAACCGCGTGGTAGTGACATAGATTTGAAAATCATATAGGAAAACCATAACATGGAAAAGAGCAACGCATCTGACATTTATAAGGAATTGTGTTTTTACTTTTAAGATGCATGAGGAAGTTAAATTAATTGCAGCATTTAGCAAAGGTTTTAATCATGTTAAGGCAGAAAATAAAACTTTTTCAGGAAGATATTTTCTATAGAGTTTTGGGCTCTCTGCTATGTGTATTCTAGCATGAAGTCAACTCTATACATAATAAAGCAACCTATTGTTTTGCATTTTTAAGGGGATAATCCACCTAATCCACCTAGACTTGCAGTTAGTACATAGTAAATGCCAACTATTTTACTTTTCTTTAAATATATATTTTTATTGATTGTTTAGAGAGAGGAAGGGAGAGGGATAGAGAGTTAGAATCATTGATGAGAGAGAAACATCAATCAGCTGCCTCCTGCATACCCCTACTGGGGATGTGCCTGCAACCAAGGTACATGCCCTTGACCTGAATCAAACCTGGGAGCCTTCAGTCCGCAGGCTGACACTCTATCCATTGAGCCAAACCAGTCAGGGCTATTTTACTTTTCACGGCTGTTTATTACTATTAATTGGATAAATATGGGGGGCCCTTTTTTTCTGCCTCCCTCACTGCCTCTTGTACCCCATTCTTCAGTATACTTACTCATACTTCCTGTCATACCAGCTTTCTTGCTGTTCTTCAAAGGCATTAGCACCCTTCTACCTCAAAGCCTTTTATGTCCTGTTCACTCTGCCTGGAACCGTCTCGCCCCAAATATCCAGACAGCTTTTCCTCCTCAGTCTTTGCTCAGGTGTTGCCTCCTTGGGGAGGATATCCCTCACCACCTGTAACCCACCTGCCATCCCCAGAACTCCATGTTCCCTTCCCTGCTTTCAGTTTTCTCTGGAGCCTTTATCCTTTTTCAACGGCGTGTATCATTGATACTTCTGTTTCAGTTGTCTGTATTTCCCTTATAGGAATACAAGGTCCATGAAGAGCTGTGTAGTTTGAACAGTGGCCAGCACATGATGGTCACCCAACAGGGATGAGTGTTCAGTAGTGGAAACAGGCCTATAGGCTGTTAAGCCACTTGCCTTGTCACTCAGGCAGTGCCTGGTGGAACTGGTATTGAAGTCCAGCTATGTTTTAAGTGCTGTAGAGCCATAGGCGGCTCACTGGACTCCCTCCGGATGAGTGTCCAGTGGTGGATGGGCAGGTGCTCAGTGAGGATGGGGTGAGAAGGCAGTGAAAACACAGTTGCTGCTCTGTTGTTAAAGACTTAGTCTTAGGGTGACTCTAGATGAGAATCAAAACCTGAAATCAAATATATCTCATTGTTTGTAAATAAAAAGTCTGAAAATAAGGACTTAAAATAGAGGAATTCATTCTGCTGTATTCAAACTCTGACACTGAGGATGGAAGGAAAATATTGTCAAGCTTTCAGGTTGCTCCCCTTCCTATCTCCCTCCATTAGACTAGCAGTAATTTTGCGTGTTTGCAACTGAAAAGTCATGTTGATGTCATCTTCCAGATGTTCATTCTCGGCCTTGTATATATAACAAAATAGCTGTTTGCCTTGGGGGGAGGGGAAAAGGGAGAGATGGAACTGATGCAGATGAAATGGTGGTTTCTAACCCGATGTGGAAATAAATTTTAACCATGAGCTCTAGTATGAATCTGGAACCAACGGCCAGCCTTGCCTTTCAGTGGGAGTTGAAGAAGTTTTATTTTGGGGGTGGGGGTG